ATGAAAAAATAGTGAAAGGTCTAAATAAATTAAATTAAACCAGTCACATTTAGAGTGCTTGGTAGATTCAGTGTCAACGGAATCGTAAAAATTGAAATGTAGAAGATCTGTGATCTCCCAAGTCATTAATACCTGAGATATGGATGACATCAATTGACATCTCCAGTTATTAATGTTTGAGAAGTCGACGATATCTACTAGTAATTCTGATCAGCAATATTTGAAAATTGATCGAGACTTTAACTTACGTTTACGGTGAAAAATGCGTCCAGATCGAATTTCTGTGTATTTTATCATTCATACTATATGTAATTTATTTCAGCAAGTTATTTTGAAATTATTCAAAAATTAGTATACCTAACGAATGTTTTCGTTGAACTGGTAAGAAGTTATTGAAGTTATTGAAGTTATTCGGAAATATCTGAAATTGATGGATACGTTTTGCAACAGTTTTACTTGAAACCAAAAGACGAGTGTACTTGTAATGACACAAAACATTGTCATTTCTTCATAACGCGTATACTTATCGTACACACAGTTAAATAGTTAAGAGAAGAATCCTCGAATGGGGTAGTACTACTGCCTTAGTGATCTGAAGAGTAACGCTTCTTGGCCAGAATTAGAAATACTTTTACATAAATTTCTTCCTTCAACAAAAATACTAGTATTATAACTTATTACAGATACAATATAATAAATAACGATAGATTAATTAAAAAATATTCGTATACAAACATAAAAATAGGGAATATAAATAAATTTTTGTCGTGCTGTTTTTTTTTATATCAGCAAACATCTGTTGAATGAAACTAATACCACTGAAATACGATAAATAACAAAATGTAAATTACGAATATTTATAAAACATAAAAATGTAATTATTACGGCCCATTTGATTTTGACTCTAGTTGTTTAACCCTTTGCACTCGACCGATGACTCCGACTCACCGCTTAAAATTGTTATATAGCGTTTCAAAATAATTTTAACATTATCAAATCTGTTTATATTTTACCAACTGTTAAAAGCGTAATTGTTGCACGAGTAATATTCAATTTCATATATTTAATTAAAATGCATTTAAGTCGTGCAGAATGGAAATAGTGGAAGTCAGAAAAACTATTTTGAATTCAGAATTAAAATGGTTTCGAGTGCAAAGGGTTAATATTCCAATATTTTAGAAATTGTTAAATATTCATCTTCACCTTTGCCATCTTCATCAGACCTTATTTCTATAGCTGTACGCGCAGATGTCGANTAATTTAATGTTGCTGAAATTATAACGACTTTTTCATAGAAAATTATCGAATTTTCTTAAACCATGAATATGTGATGAAAAAATAGTGAAAGGTCTAAATAAATTAAATTAAACCAGTCACATTTAGAGTGCTTGGTAGATTCAGTGTCAACGGAATCGTAAAAATTGAAATGTAGAAGATCTGTGATCTCCCAAGTCATTAATACCTGAGATATGGATGACATCAATTGACATCTCCAGTTATTAATGTTTGAGAAGTCGACGATATCTACTAGTAATTCTGATCAGCAATATTTGAAAATTGATCGAGACTTTAACTTACGTTTACGGTGAAAAATGCGTCCAGATCGAATTTCTGTGTATTTTATCATTCATACTATATGTAATTTATTTCAGCAAGTTATTTTGAAATTATTCAAAAATTAGTATACCTAACGAATGTTTTCGTTGAACTGGTAAGAAGTTATTGAAGTTATTGAAGTTATTCGGAAATATCTGAAATTGATGGATACGTTTTGCAACAGTTTTACTTGAAACCAAAAGACGAGTGTACTTGTAATGACACAAAACATTGTCATTTCTTCATAACGCGTATACTTATCGTACACACAGTTAAATAGTTAAGAGAAGAATCCTCGAATGGGGTAGTACTACTGCCTTAGTGATCTGAAGAGTAACGCTTCTTGGCCAGAATTAGAAATACTTTTACATAAATTTCTTCCTTCAACAAAAATACTAGTATTATAACTTATTACAGATACAATATAATAAATAACGATAGATTAATTAAAAAATATTCGTATACAAACATAAAAATAGGGAATATAAATAAATTTTTGTCGTGCTGTTTTTTTTTATATCAGCAAACATCTGTTGAATGAAACTAATACCACTGAAATACGATAAATAACAAAATGTAAATTACGAATATTTATAAAACATAAAAATGTAATTATTACGGCCCATTTGATTTTGACTCTAGTTGTTTAACCCTTTGCACTCGACCGATGACTCCGACTCACCGCTTAAAATTGTTATATAGCGTTTCAAAATAATTTTAACATTATCAAATCTGTTTATATTTTACCAACTGTTAAAAGCGTAATTGTTGCACGAGTAATATTCAATTTCATATATTTAATTAAAATGCATTTAAGTCGTGCAGAATGGAAATAGTGGAAGTCAGAAAAACTATTTTGAATTCAGAATTAAAATGGTTTCGAGTGCAAAGGGTTAATATTCCAATATTTTAGAAATTGTTAAATATTCATCTTCACCTTTGCCATCTTCATCAGACCTTATTTCTATAGCTGTACGCGCAGATGTCGATGAATCTATATCAGCAGATGGCAAACAAAGCTAAAATTTCGGTAGGTAATTTATATAATTGTAAATAATTTCTTAAAGTAACTTCTTAACATTTTAAAAATTATATAGGAAAAAGGAAACAATTACATTGACTAATAAAAAGACAATCACTAATACTATATCTATTGAACTCGTCCTGCAGGTTAATTTATTGACTATTTCTTCACGTATGAAATTCTCTGTCGAATTTATACAATACATTTTTACTTTCTGATGTCTCTTTAGCAAAATATCTTGAAAGCAGAACAAATTATTCCAAAATTTGTTTCTCGTGTCTTAAAATGTTGTGCATCGTTATTGGTATAGAATACCGTGGATAATTTTATGCGTATGTCCGTGTTATTTCGGAGCAAAATAATTATAATAAATCGTTATAAACATTCTGTAATATAATATTACAAAAATTATAAAAATATTAGAAAAAATGAAGTGAACATTTTACAGTAAGTTACAAAATATCTTATTAAAGTCGCATATTTTAGAGATCCGAATTTTGTGAACACTGTCTAATAAAAAAAAATGAGATGAAAAATCATGAATGTTTTGACTCTAAAGTAAATTGAATTGAATCCAGTTTGCGTTGCAGCCAAATTGCTAGTCTGGCTGATTAATTTGTCTACCGACAAAAAATATGGTCTTTTGTCTGCGTTAGTATACCATAGCTAGTATACCATGTAGTATACCATAGCTTAGTATACCATGGCTACCATAGCATATAAAATTGCCTATAAATATTGGAACGACGGAGATTAAAAACATGCCACATTATTGTTATTATACATGGCAGAGTTTAGTTCTTTAGCATATACTAATTAAACTTCTACTGGTATACAATGTATACAATGTATTGTATTATACACGATCGTAATTATACACATCCCAATTCTGACCAAGAACCACAAGCATTTACAATTAATTGAACAAGTACCACACACACACACACATTTTTGGGAACGATAATTATATTAATTAGTGAACGTGTTGTTATACCCTGTCCTATTAATATCAATAATTTATGAAGATTATGATTTGAAAATAAATAACAAACTTTAGTATATTAAAATTTATCATAATTACTTACTAGTTATTATAACATGACAAATCAATATAATAACTTCCAAATTATTAATTTTGAAAAAATACACGACAATTTTATCAGATAAGTAACTTTCATCGTACAAAGTACGAATCAAAATATATATTTTTGTATATAATACATGAATTTTAAATGTGTGCTTGTATCACTTGTATGAAAATTGAAATAAAAATTTTATTTATCAATCTACGAACAAAATGGAATAATATTACAAAATTTTAAGCTGAAAAAGCTTAATCTGATAATGGATTTTCCTACTCCAGCGTTCTTGGTATCAAAACTTCTAAATAGTGTTATCTCCGAAAAAGTTTCTGAAAATTGCAATTTTTTATTTAATAAAAATATATGAACAAAGAACTTGTGAGAAGAATGTAGGATTGATAGCCCTCTGGTGGTAGACGCAGGAATTACCATCACATTATGTTCTATCGGCAAGGAACAATGAGTTCTCGGATATCTCTTTGCATTTACTGAAACCTCTTAAGATAATTAAAAATGATTATTTCATAAATATATGAGTAGAATGCAAAACAATTTAGCAGAACTAATCATTTCATCTTTTGGCATTATGTAGCAATACATTTTTCATGACGATATTCGACGTTCTCATAAAAAAGAGTGGCGTTGTTGTAATAAAGAAGACCGTCACCACTTTGTTTGCAATATAATATTGCAATCTTCCTAAAATGCTTGGAAATTTTATAAACGCTAGTGAAATCATTTACACAGACAAAGTATGAAAGTAAAAGCCAAAAAATATTCAAGTCAAACTGAAAAATTCTAAACAATCTCAACTATTACTCCGCATACAAATTTTATAGTACATGCATGGGGTGTGACACACCCTAGAAATCTCAAATTATTTATAATTTTAGGTCACAAAAATGACTAAATATTCTTTTCTAGACATTCTAAAACAAGAGACAACAACGTTTCTCTTAAAATCATAACTGGAGTGCGGATTTTATACATTTATGACAAAAGTGAATAGATGCAATATCAAGCTGTGACTGTATTAGAAGAATTTAATAATACTATTGCACTATTGTACTGTTGCACTATTGTTGACTCATTGAGATTATTACTAGAAAAAATTAATTTTTATTCGATTTCTGTTTCTTGCAGTTCACTTAGCAAATGTTTATTTTGCATAAAGATCCGCAATCTAATTATTACTTACACGAAATAAAAAACATACGGAAAAAGGATTCGAAAAAGTGATAATAATTATGCAACAAAATTTTGTTGGGATATCGTACAACCGGGGTGTACAGTAAAGATAAATTTTTGGCACTCCTCAAGCACGAGGGGCGTAATTTATTTAATTAACGGTAAGAAGTAAAATAACAGTAATCTTTCCATTCGACTCTGTACAATATTAACGTATGGGCATGTACATGAAGGTATTCATACGATGTCGTACATTATTCTCATTAAAAATATATTTAGCCTTACAACAGTACAGTATAGCAAATCAGGGAACGATAGTTCTCTATGCGTTCCCTGAACAGTTCATACATTGATTTTTTACGTACACCGGATTCCATTCTGTCTTTGATTATCGAAATTTTACATTGATCTCTGTCGAAGGTCTCGATGATGATGCTGACGTTGGCTCAGAATGTTGTTTCATTACTTTGACGCTGCGATATGAAATGTATTTATGCTCGGGCGCGTTTGATGATTTTTAACAGGGGATGAGTGGTGAGATGATTAGAACGAACAGACGTGTCCCTCGTTGACGTGGACTTTGCCAACGGATGATGCCGGGCAGCACAGCGACCGCGATGTCACTCATCTCCCCCCGCTCTGTCGCACAGTTTACGAAGGAACGCTAGAAATAAATCGATCGATATTATTTCGGTTCGGCCGAGACAGTGGCACAAGTTGATTGACAACGAACAGAGTCAAAAATATGTACAGTTGTCGTAAGACGCGGTCTCGGACCGCGCGGTCAATCGAACTTTGTGCCGGACGCACGAACATAAGCAAGACTGAACATGATAAGCATTAAGAAAGAGTTGGCTCTGCGACATTGTTACGTCGCGTAGAACCGTATTAGTCGTTCGAAAACCGTTCTCGGTGTTCGTAAACCCGTAGGAAATAAAGAAAACGTCGTTCCACGCAAGAACGTATAACGCGAGTACCATTCGATATAACTGGACCGCGCCGATCGGTCAGAATATCTTAATATTCGTTGCAGTTTTCGGCATTTCATCCGAGAATTGACTATATAGAAGAAGGCAACTGGTTAATGACACGTATAGCGAGAGAAAAGGGACGCTCGGAAAACGGAGAATGTAAGGTCCGAGAAACTGGACCATTTTCCGTGATGCGCGTCCCGACAATTTCGGATCACGAACTTTTAGCGTATGAGTCTCTTAAGCCTTCGAAAGTATTGTTGTGTGAGAAGCAGGTTATCGATTTCAGCATCCCAGCCACGTTGACTCGTTGCATCCTATAAATTGTGAGATGTGCGTAATACAGAACGGCGAAGCAGTGTTAGTCTGCAGGTGGAACGAGAGAAAGAATCGGCGGGTAGAACAGTGGCAGACAATTCACGGAGGCATAGTCTACAGGGTGTACTTACGAACGGCGACCTTTGTGACATTGACTTCCGGTTTTGCTTACAATGGCACCATCATCTTCTTCAAGAACGCTGCAGAACACAAAATACGTGGAAACATCAAATGACGGGGAATGGGGTCCGAATTCGTTCGTTCCCGTGCGACTCGCCTGGATATATTCGAGGTGACAGCTGTGTAAAAAAATCTCTAGGGGTTTGCTACGTGACGGATCTACACCGGGCATACACCAGGAAAACGGGATAGGGAACTTCGTACGTTTAGATCTCTACTGCAAAAACAATCGTGTCTACTGGCGATTACGAACCTAGGCGTGCGCGTTGTTTAATGGTTTTATACTACTTTTTATCCTTGAGCCGACAATATTTTCTACATTAATGCAGCTCCGTTAATGCAACATAATTCAATACTGTATATTGTGTTGATCTATTTCACGGGATGCAGTATGCTTGGTTCACGAACATGGATCGATACTCACGGGCATAGGGGATGAAACCGTCCTCGTCCTCTGGGTCCATGCAATCCTTCAATACGACTTCTACCTCGGCGTCGGTCAATTTCTCACCTATCACGATAGATATTGCGTGGTTTGATATGATACACTTAATGCATGTTTATACTATGTTTCAGAATTTCATATACGATGCGTTCGTGTTTTCTTTTTTATACAAATATTTTGTAGAACATTGAAGATACTTGCTTGAGACGTTGAATTACTTTCATTTTTCATTAACCAGTTAGCTGTTGCAGTCTCTTCGAAAAGTGTACGCGTGGCTGTTATGATATAGAATTAGGTTGTAATGAAATGACTGTTTCATTTTTCAATTTTATTACCAACAGTTATTTATTTACTTAATTCGAGCATACTCGAGAAAAACAGCTAACTGGTTGATTAAGTCTATTGATTAGGTTTCACTAATACGCGCGTATCTTAAATATTTTACAAGACGATCGTTCGCGAAATATTTGAAAATATGTGACGTTCCAGATGTATTTGAAAATAATTGAATAGTCAAAACTGAATTTCGAAATTAGGAGATAATCGATCATCAAAAATTGGTAAATGAAACTGGAAACTACGATAATACGTGTAGCACTTAAAAAATAAAAACTGATAACTCTAATTATGGAAAAAAACGATGTTAATATAGGAACGAAATTGATTAGGAGGAATTAGAAGTATTCGTGAGAAGTAATTTTACGAATGAGATATTTTAGTATCGAAATAGTTGAAATACCAAGGGCGAGCAACGTGTGCGAAAGTTCCGCAGCCAACATGGTTCCATTCTCTGCTTTGTCATAGAGTTTCAAACACTCGAGGAAATCTTCGTAGCATCCCTGTTCCTTGTCCTTTTTGCACTGACTGTAGATTGGCAAGAACTCATCGATTTTCATCATTTTCTCGCCCTTCTTTTTCGTTCCGCCGAGCTTCTCAATGGTAGCGTTTGTGGGATTCAGGTTGAGGGCCCGGAGAACCTCTCCAAGGTCAACGGCATCGATGACGTTGGTGCCATCAGCATCGTAAATGGAGAAGGCGAATTCAGCCTCTATTCAACGCGAAACACATATACTATTTATCATTTTCTCTTCTATCTGCGATTATTACTATAATATACAGGCATTATTAGCAATAATCGAGACGTGTAATCAGCAAAATATTTATGTCAATACTGAACATTCTATTTTGAGGATAGTGCACAGTTTTCTATACATATTACACGGTATAACACTATATGGTTTGCTTTCAGTTAATGTTAGAAAATTGCCACTGTTCTCAGTAAATAATTTTATTAATACGGCTGACGTAATTAGCATTGCAATGCAAAAAAAGTTGTAATATTCATCAGCCAATCTTTCACTTTCGACGGACTTTCGATGCACAAAGTTTTGGAAATATGGTCGATGAATATATGTTCTTTCGGTTTTGATGTTTCTTAAAATTATTCTATAGGTACGTGCTAACAATAAACGAAATGTATGGAACTCCTTGTCAATTATATAATTCAAGCGGAAGTCTACAATTCTTACAGGTAACATAGTTATTATTAGACTACTCGTGTTTCTGGAAGTTATATTTATAGCGAACAAACTTGTTAATCAATTAAAGAGATATTCTATATTCTAAATATCCGATCAAGTATTTTATTGTTTATCGTTGTACTTTTTTGTTTCATAGAAATAATAGTCCTTCCGCGGACATGTTTAATATTGAGTATTCACTTTCGTCGAAGATGTATGAACAATTTGTAAATTAGATTTTCACTATCGATTCATTATCCCAGTTGCAGATTTTTATTTATCTGACCAACTATTGTTTATAAATTTCGTCACGTTCAGAAATCCGTCTTTGAAAATTGCTATCATCGCGTTCAGTTTTGCGACAGACGTCTATCGTTCCGATCCTTCGGCGAAGTTGAGGATTTTCAAAATGCAATCAAACAACAAATAACACGTATTGACATTTAAAAAATTAAGCGAGTCATACAGGATGAAACATTTCCGAAGCGAGATCCGGATTAATATCAGCTGAAGCGTAGCTCTTCTCGCGTACCTGGTTCAAAAATATTGTTCTATTTTAAGACGCAGCGACTTCCACCCAGCAACCAATTCAAGAACTCGCTGGTAGAAGTAGTGGGTCAGATTACCCCCGCCGAGCCATATAAGAACAGAGCACTATTTTTGAAATGGTGTTACGCATTTGGGGTGGTTACATCTTTGCTTTGCCGGTTACTACCAATTACGTAATGTGTTTGTCACGTGACGTGGAAAATTATGCGTCGCGTGGAAGAGCCAACAACATTATTATGAAATAACAAACACAACGGAAACGCGATCGAACGTTCCGTATTTCCTAATAAGAAACGCGTCGTTTCGAATTGATAAATGTCTTCGGATGTCGGCGCACAGATCATGTTGCACGTCGAGATCTCTTACAGACCTCGCGTTTCAATTTTTCAAATAGTTCTCGTTCGACTCGCGCGAGTTTGTTCTTGGCACTTTTATCCGAATCACATTTGTGAGATTCACTCGATACTTCACCATTGCTTAGGAACATCGCGAGCTCCTTCGTATTCTACCTCCGTCGCACAAGCAAAATTAAACACGTATACACAACCGAAATGTTTCCGGTATTTTTTACTCACTTTCGACATCCTTTGCGCTGAGGTCTGCCTGTAATACAAAATAGACACCATTAGTTATCCCAAATTTGACTATCCCAAATTGTTTAAACTACCTCGTTTGAGTAACCAGCGTAGTTACAATATATAGAAAAATCGGTAGTTATCGCAGTTTCAATTTCAAATGCACAGAAAAATCGAAGCTAAAACAGCAAATTAAGAACAATTATACGAGAGAACGTGAATAATTTCAAAAATTTCACGCGATAATTGATTCGAGTATACGCGATACAGATGGATATGAAAATAATTGATAATTGAGTATCGAAAAGGAAGTCCTCACTCACCATAGTGTTCTATCTAGTGTGCCTGGATGTTGACCGAACGAAGCCTGAACCAGAAGTGCTACCGGGTGTTACCAAATTTATTCATTTTATTTCTGTAGATGGCGCAGCGATCAGGACACACGAGAATCACAAGGAGATCCGGCTCGGAAAGCTCGGTTTCGGATCAGCGGGGTAGCGGCAACGCCGCGGTCCAAAAACAGTTCGAGAGGTAACCGCGGGTTAAGCTGTGCTTCCTACTACGATAAATGGTTTTCAACGATAGCATCCGTGTATCGGGGCTGCCAGGCCTGCATATGTCATAGGCGCCATGCGAAAATATAACATCGGCCGCCCTTCGATGCAAGCTCACCTGCTGCAGCCCCGGTATCGCCTAACTCTTGCCTTAAGGGGGTATTCTGGCCCGGTACTCTGAAACTTGCCTGTGGGAGAATTTATTTCAATTCCGCGAGAATGAGACACTCGCAAATATTTTAAGTATTTACGGTTGTCTCGTGCTGCTTCAAATTGGACCGTATGGACCAAAGTCGTATTTCAGTATTCTCGCTGTGCTAAGAACGATGAGAAAACATTTTTAGAAACTTGGACATCAAAGTGCCGACGTTCTTTTAAATAATAAAATATTTTATTTCGTTTGGTTCGCCCCATTGCCACATTTATGTTAATGAAGAAGGTGCTTCATTGTTTTGTGTGGAATCGTCAGAACTGCTGGTACTGTGTCAACCAATAAGGCACCTGCATTTTCTATGACTGGAACGTATTCTGTCTTAGAGATATCAAAATAAAATATAAAATGTTATAAGGTTAGAAATAATTACTCTGGTACAGATCTGGTACACGAAAAAAGAATATTCGATTTTGACAATACTATAACTATCAGCAATCTTGATACGTTTGCTCCTAGGGGACATCAGAGCACAAGGAGTTCAAATACTTCATTCAAGGAAGTGCAAATAACACAATTTCTAGTATTCTGGTTTAAAAAAGATATGTTGTCTACTCTTAGCAGTGACAGACATTTGTGCGAAAAATTAACACGAAACAGTCTCCCGTTGCATTTAAAAAGAATCCTAAAGGAGGCCAGATACTCTTCTAGATCAGAATACCCTAAAGTTGAATCGACTGAATCGATCTGTCGTCGATATGAAAAAGCTTATTATATTATAAAGAATTTTTAGGGGTTACAAGTGTTTCTTGGTGTATAATGACCAAGTTGATCTAGGAAGTTAGGGTTCCTAGGAACGCGTGGAATGTATTTCATGTCTCATATAACGCGGTGCGAGCTTGGCATACGCAAGCGACGCGTTGCCCGTAGCCAGTCGATGACTAAGCTCGGCAGAGTTATTTTTATCAGCTTCTCGTGGACAAACAAGGCATATCATTCTCAAAAAGTAGGTCTACGAGTGGGCATTAAACTGTGGCGTTTCTCGTCTCCGGTGATTCCGTCGCGAATCACGGCGGTGCATCAGTTCTTCCGACCACCAAAAATGGACCGCAACATTTTTCGGATTCTGCTGAACACGCCTTTCTTCCTCAGCTTTTCCGGTTTCATCGCGGCGCTCTTCTCGCCGACTCCGTACGCGAGATCCATTACAGAATCGGTCTGATCGGGAAGAGGTGAAGCTGTTATTTCTTCGATGGCCACGAATTGCTTCTCCGTCTCGCTCGCAGCCGCAACATCTTCTGCGCCGATGGAATCGCATTCGGTTTCTTTCACGACGTCGGTATCCTCTATCCGAGTCTCCAGCTCCTCTATCATTCGATGCAACACGCTGTCGGATGTTCTAGTTATCTCGTTCGATTCGCAATTTTCTTCGTCCCTTTGAACACAGGTCGGATCTGTCGGCGTTTCGACGACTGCATTATGTATTATTTGGTACATATCACCTTGGCCCTGGGTGTCACGCGGCGTTTCCGCAGCCTTGGTCTCCTCTGCTGTCGAAGTACTGTAGTCGATGTTGTGCACAACATGCTTCACCTGAAAAAAGTACACGATACATGACGACTACAGATTAAGGCAGAAACAAAAAGTCGAGGAATGAATTTAATGTTTCTTCTGCCCTATCTTAACGAGCAAATTAGGTAGTATTAATGACAGAACGCTACACATAGACAAAGATTAATGCAAAGCTTTTATTGTTGTAGGAAATAAAGTTTGCATAAAGGTTACTCTCGAAGATAAATTAAACGTACGAATAATTTACTGTACGTCGCTTTGCATTTATCCTGAACTTCTGATAGCATTCCGTCATTTATAACCAAGCCAATTAGGTATTTGGCATAATCACAAACAACATCGTGTCGGTAATCTCTCACAAATCCAGCAAGCGGTAATTAATTTTTACAGAGATATAATAAATAAATTGAATTCTGTTCTAAAACTAAAAATGCAACTATGCATTTATGACAAGAAAAGTGGGCGCAATTTCAAGCAATGGAAGGATTAAAATCATTTAAGAACATCGATACGTTGGCATCGATTTATTGAAATCAATATAGAATGAAATTTCTATTTGATTCGATGCAATTAACTATGTATTTCCTATGATATTGTGCTAAACTCGTCGCTAAGATTTCGATCAGAATTTACTAAATACGAATGTTACAATTTCTTTTTTCGATCAAGATAGAATTCGATGTTTATGTTATCGTTACTTAGTTATCACAGTAAACTCAGGCATACAATAATATCACGAAATAATATTAATAAAATAAGATCGAGTCATCGTAGAAAATTAGAATTAAAATTATAATTTTCGTAAAGATTTTCAGTCTACTGGTCATGTTTGTGTCTTTGAATAAATTACCTTTATTTCGTGAAATGTTTACGAAATATGCGAAGATATTAAATTGAACTGTTCATATACGTATCTGATAGTGGTAGAAATAAAAATATATAGAGCCATGGAGATCTGATTCCTCACATATTTAAAAACATTCTAAATATGCAAAGAACGCCAATTTTTAACCTGCTTCTCTAAATTTGTTAGAAATGATGGCACAGATGTCGAATCTCCAATGTGCAAGTTTTTCAATCCCCGCATCATGATTTCAATATGCTCCAAGGTTTCCTGTTCGTTGTGCGAGCAATCGTTCATACGTATCGTCGTCTGTGTCTGAATATTCGTCAAATCTTCTTGGCTCTCCATTCGTGATTTTTCTGCCAATCATCATTTTTACTGAATAAAAGTTTTTTTTACACTCTAAATATCTTATACAACAAGTTAACCAATAAATAGTGAATTCAGTAAATAGCGAATGTGTAATACGACGAATTTTCTACACAAATGAAAGGATGAAATATTCGTGTACGAGAGTGAACGATGTTTCAATGAAATGCTGTCAGCGTATCAAAAATAATTTACCATCTCTGTCGCCCATACCATCGAAAACTTCCTGCATGATTTTCTCAATCAAACTTTTCGCAAATGCCTCGATCATCATTTGAGGCATTCTCACCTCGATAAAAACCTGAAGTCGCTGCCACCAATGTGTACAAGACGACTGTCCTATGTCATATATTGTTGACAGATATACGGATACTTCACATTAGTGATATTAACGTCCGTTTACACGAGGCATTCATCGCCAGAGTGGTTTCTAGCAGAGTTGGACAAAATAATTATAGTAATCATAACCATTAACCAATTAATCGTTGCTAGAGTAAAACAGTAGCCATGATTACATTTGATGATCTGTAATCGTGGACGAATGATTAATTTACCCTTTCTCGTGACTTGCTATTGCATGTATTCTAAAACCCGTGGGGGTATAGAATAAATAAACTTCTAATTTATCTAAGTATTTGATATTTTTAAATTTAAATATTTTGATATGAAATTGTCAAACTAATAAATCAATTATTTCTGTTTCATATATTTGTGCTCACTCTAAGAATATTTATTATAAATTGATTCTACTCGCTGATGAGTTACGATAATAAATGAATTAATATTTACATGGTGGCGAAAACTTCATTAACATAATTCGTAAACTTATTCGATATTAAAAAATTTTCGATAAAATAGAAAACATTAATTATCTACATCTATCACAAAACTATTCAGAATTATTAACTATCATCATGCCACATTTTTCAGCTGATCATAATCAAAAAAATAATCATTACATGATTAATGATTTCTTTGTTAATCATGCTTAAGACTTAAGTTATTCGTTAATCCTGATTACTTGATTACTCAATCGTAATCATTAATCATTAACGTGTTCTCACGTTAGACATAATCATTAATCAATACCCAGATTACTTTTATAACCCAACCGCGGTTTGTAGACACAATCACGCATCTTGAATCGTCTGTTATTTTGCTATTTTTGAAAAGGGGAACCTGCCTGGAAAATGTGCATTTGTGTAAACTGGCCCTTACCATACGTAACCTATTCGTAGCTTGTCTAACCATATTAGTGTCAAAGAAATTGCAAAAGTAAATGAAACCTACATGCAAATAAATATTCACAGAGAACGAACCATGGTAAAGTGACTGTTTCAAAATAACATTTATTTTCAACCTCGCGAAGTCGTCGAGGTTATCTCTACACGCAACATGTTATTCTTCTACCCACTAAAAATTTATTATGCATAAAATATTATCGTATGGAACAACATTATAATAGTCACAGCTGAAGGCTAACATCGACGAATTTATCTTTAAACTGTGATATATGTAAGTAACAGAGCAATAATTCTAAAAATGAACACATACATGCTTCAATGGACCGATTAATGGGACACTTTTAATGAAACGACAGTATTTGAAGTATAAAATTCAGCTGCAATGGAGACTCTAGTAAGATTTCTGCCCTCGAACCCATATTTATTAGACGTCTGAAGATTACTGTTTTAATCAAAACATGGATGAAAAAAAGTATGTCGAAGTAACAATCGCTAATTCCAACGCAGAAATTCCAGTTTCCGACGCTGAACATGTGCATTCGACCTTGAGCATTATCAGAGAATACGGTAATTCAAGCGGCCCCCATTTATCCTTTGGAAAAGCATTTTCAAAATACGTAAGAAATTCGAAAAGCACGAAATACGGCGAATTTGATCACGCTTCTGGCAAAAAGGATCATTCGACCGATGCGTTCGACATTGACTTACTATTGAAGTACTACGCGTGCAGTTCAAGCATGGAAAACTCAATAAACAAAATGTTTGGAATAACAGGAGATAAAGGTACACCTTGTTTACACGATCCTCTTGACAGCCAAGTGTGCAAAGACACGGATCGGAGGCCGTTAATCGAATTAGGCGCGGTTCACAAAGTATTTAATTTGTTACCATCCGAATCCTTCGAAAATGTTACATCGTTAGCGTCTCATCTCCGCGACGCCGTAATTAAATTACAGTCTCTGTTAAGTCGATGCAATATCAATGAGTTCAAGCAGATTCTCTCGAGTGATCCATCGATCAAAATCTGTGAACACTGCGGAGTAATTAGCTGTTCGAAGCCTAGAAACGCATCGATGGAGTCACGACAATCTCCGCCCAGAACATCCTACTTTCTGAACACACAAATATTTTCCAACAAAGATACCGAGAACACAAAATTGCAAAGAACTACGGAAAAGTTTCACACAAAGAAACAGCAATCCGCGAAGCGTTTCGGGAAGTATTGCGACACGCGTAAAAGTTCCCCCGTTTTTACACGATACAGCGACAAGAAGCAGAATTGTAGATTAACGGACAAAAAATCGGCCGACGATGTTAAACCAGACGACAAGAGATCGGAGAACGCTCCTCAACGAGTGGAAATTATGATTGCCGAACGCGAGAATGGTGTCGAAACGGGAAAGACGCGAGTTGTGCAAAGTGTGGTGAGCGAACCAAAACATAATAAAATGCGAGTCCACGATGGTGCTGCGTCGAAGAAGAAACACTTACGAAGCTGTAACAATGTTTTCCAAGCGTCGGAATCACTGTTCGCAAAAGGGCAAAAACCTGCAGCGTCACAATCCAGTGACAAGACTAACCACGTCGAAAAGACGTTGGATCAAGATTGCACAAAAATACCTGCCGTCGATCGTGATTCGCAACGCACCAAATCTTTTAAGTCGGCTGATTGCGACGCTACGGCTTCGTTGGTTGATAGCAAAACTAAAGAGGGGCGCGTGTCATTGACAAGAAGCGAAAGAAGCTCGAACGAAATGAACGAGAAAGTGGTCAAGGATATTTCGTACGAAAAGTCAAAAATAGATGGTTCCAGACCCGAAGTTTCACCGCCAAAGAGTACGGAGGACGTGATGAGCCATTGTAACGTCGACTCGATCATTGATACGATGACGTACTTGGCACACGGTCGGTTCGATTCGACAGACATAAAACAAGACGAATTTGTTGTGCAATACAATGATAGAGCATGGATGCAATCTAGAAACTCTAACAATAGGCATCGCTTTATTTTACATGCCGGCCGAGACTGTGATCCGCAATTAGCCTCCGTATTTAATATGAACGACGAATCGAAACATCCGGATCGGACCGGGAGTAAAAATAAATTCGGAAATGCTAAAAATATCTCGAGAAATAACGAACGGTCTGCCAGTCTCGCTTGTGTGATCGAAGACGATTCCCTGGAGGACTGTACCAAAGTATTAGCCCCGCAACTCGACTCTGATCGCAGTGCTAGCTCCTCGTCCGCGGAAAACATGATACGCGAATGGATGAATTGTCCGCAGGAAGGAAAAAGCAGCGCCGACGTTAACAATCACGAGATAACGATCAGTTCGTCACCCCTTATCATCGGATTGGACGTTAAGCTTCAAACACCTGGCACTAACGATAAATGCTTGTGCTGCAGAGAGACTTCGATTGATAAGCAACAAGATCTCCAAACTAAACATTCGAATGGAAAGAAGGAAAAGGACTTATCGTCGGTATCGAATGATCAAGAAGAAGCGCACCTATCGATGGAACAAATTGTGCGCACGTGTGATCAGAATTTGAAATTGCAGGGCAGTCAGGAATCAGTGAACAGCGATGCGAAGAAAAAGAGATGCAAGCAAGTGGGCAGTACCGCAAGTAAAAAGTTCAGTATAAAACAGTTTCTCGAGTCTTTCAAATCGATTAAAACAGCGAAATCTACGAAACGCAAGGACAGCAAATTGAACTGGAAGCCTTCTTCGTTATCCAGCAAGAATTTGTCGCACAGTTCCATGAAAAATGTTCCACGGCGGATCAGTTACAACGAGTCGTCTTTCAAAAGTTTGATACACGATGACAGGGGGCACGGTGAGGTGGCGAACACTTTATCGCTTTATCGTAAAATTCTGGAGAACACGAGAGGAATGGACTGGGACAGCTTTAAGCGATTTATTGGAAGGCTGCACGCGAGTCAAAAAGAGCTCTGGCGTGATATTTGCAACGCCATTGACAATGAAGCGAAAAGGCTGGCCGACAAAGGCGATGGCGTCACGGAAGTGTGTATAGAAATCAGTTCTGTTCCCGGCAAAGGAACAAAGCACGCGGAAAGATCGTGCAGCAACGAGATCGTGTTCGAGATGGACATGACGCTCAGAGACGTCGAGGGGTTTCTTGATAGCGAGCTAGCTCTTCCCGAGAAAAGCCAACTTGACACCCTCTGGAGAGCTAGCGAAGTTATTAGAGTTCGAAATGATGACGTCTGTAATACTGAAGTGGCCTCCAATCAAGCTGAGTAGACAATGTTCGCCGCTGTTCACTTTACGTGTATATAACTTAGACTTTACTTCTTACGCGCATTGTACCTTATATTTCTTGGTGCAGAATTGCTTCTATCAAATTTTAATTATCCATCGTGTCGAAACATTAGGCGAAATTGTGAGGCACAATGGATGAATATGTATGGACACCTTTCAAAATGGAACAATTTTTCTACAATTGGATCAAACGAGTGGAATTTTTTTGAGATCATCGAAAAGCTAATTTGCTAGACGTACAATAATTTCAGCGAAAATTGCAATTGAGTAGTAGGACAAAGAATCACATTCTCCAACTTTTTCATCTGAATATGTAAACAATGCATTTTTTAGGTCTCCACAATTTCTCCTACGGAAGATATGAAATGTACTTGATGTACCTGGCACTTGATTTCGTAGGTAAAACCTCTTGCTGTCTTACAACTATTCAACACATAAAACATATAAAACATTGAAAAAAAATAAAATTGAACTCGGTATCGCTGCTTTATATCCCTTCATTATTACTAGAGTGCGGATTTCTACGCATTTATGTCATATGCAAATTTTTGAAATTCCAGAAAACGTATAAATGAACATGGTCTAACATTTTCTACTTACAATGGCAAGGTCCGGTTGACGAAGAAAACTTTTCTTTCATTCTCAAATTTCTAAAACGATGTGTGAAAATGAGAGTTGCGTAAAAATCCGCAGTCTAATTGTTACTCAACAGAAATTCATCGACAACGTGATAGCATCAGAATCGCGTGGCCAATACACGTGACAGAACGCACGTTTTATAGACCATAATTCTTGAAGCATGAGACAAATTCTCTTCTATTCAACATCGCCGACATTATTCCTGGGTATTAGTTCGGAATTGACGCCTAAATAACATTCGCGAAAGCAACAAAACTTTGTGTGTAATAAAACATTTCTCTGACAAAATGCATCGAAGAAGACAACTGCCCTGTAAACTTTCCAAAACTGTTGTTAGCTTCTTTCACATCGTAAAACGAAAAATGTAGTAACCTGTTCAGTATGAATGTTATCCCGATCTTTGAAGACAGAATAAAATTCTGCCCTCTAGCCATCGATATCTAAGCACTCAAATAAGCCTAAGTACACAATAAATATAAATTTTCATTTTCACCAAAAACGTTAAAAGAAAAAGATTATTCTAACTATGAAGAAAATGTTACAGCGAGGGACTAACGAATATTTCGTGCAACTTTCGTTTCATGCTTATAAGGAGCCGCCTTGCAATGCTATCTGTTGCAAAACCACCATACTCGTCGCTCGAACTCCTGAGCTGCACGCTCCTGTAACAAAATAAAATGTCGAACATAAACGTTGTAAAAGCAGCAACAGTCTCGTCATTGGCACAATCATGAACTCGTTGCAAGCCCTTCGACCGTACTTCGTAGAGGTTCAAGGTACCTCTAACTGTACCGGATGCAGTGGCTGTTACTAGTGTGCCGGCGCGTGTCGGTGAAATTCAAGGGGTTGCGCATTAATTCGGATAGCGAAGGTTGAACTGTGCTTCATCCCATCTGTAATCATCGTGCTTTGCAGTATTCCGAGAAAGTCAGGTAGGTTTTGGTGGATAAGTAGGTTGGTAGGGATGTGCCGTGGGAAAGGGTGGGTCGGCCCTGGTCGTGTGGTGGTGGTCCAGCGAGCAGATTCCTGGGCTGATCGATGGAACGACCGGCGCATTGGATTTCCCCGAGAGTAGCGCGCGCATTCCCATCCTTTCCAACAGCATTACGTCCGTCGTGTCGTGTCTTTCAGTTACTCACGATCCTGCCGCGGTGGTGCATCCACCGGTCCGGCGAGTGCGTACCAGCTACCGAAAACGATGCAACTGTGTCACTAGGCCGAGTGGCACGTGATCCTGTCCTTGCACGGTGCTGCTGCCTCTTCTTGCATCCGCGACGACGTTCCGCGATCCCATCGGCAAACCCGATCTTCCGTGCACCGAACGATCCGGAACAGTGCGCGAACGATCACCCCCCGAGCGATATTAATCTCGCCGAATTTCAACCCCTAGCACTCCTCCACATTGTAGCACGGCCGACGCGAGCCCGAAGGTATGTAGCCCGCTAACGAGACTTCATGTCCGGTTCAATGGGGAACAGACTGTCACAACATTGACGGGGAATTGATTGATCCGATGACAGAGGGCCGGATCGCCGAAGCGCGCGTGCTGCAACGCAAAAACACCGGCCGATGTCGTTCAGAAGCGAACGACTGTGCATTCATTATCGCCAGAGTGAAACACGTGGCGCTGGGAACTTGTAATTGATTAATCATTTTCATCCGATCTTATGGTGGGGCTTCTTCCTCGTCTTCCTATTTTCTACGCTGGCTCGTTCAAGTGTCCGATGTAAACGTTCAGCGTTATTGTAGATATTCACACTGGAAATATGGATAAACGACGATCCGTCGATGCGAACCTACAGGAACTGGCTTTGCCCATTCCAGTTCAGATGTTCCTTTGGCAACAGCTGAGGTACAAGTTTTCTTTGAACGATGCATTCGAGTTTGTTTAACCCTTAACTACGGGACACGGTGTTTGACAGACTCTACTGTAAATATTATTGCTTATTGCTTCTACCATAAGTGGATCTAGAAGATGTTGCTTCGAATACCTTCCCTTCTCCTTGTCACCCTCGATAGATGTTGTATTTAATTTTAATGTAAAAATGAATATCATATTCACATTTAATGACAATATTTAAGGACAATATATTTTAGTGAGTCACAAATTCGGATGTCCGCAGTTAAGGGTTAACGAAGTTCGAAGAGTCTAAACTGTCCTTGTTGAAGATATTGTACTCTTATTTCGGAGTCGAGAATCGTAATGTTTCAAATATCATTAATTTGTGTGAAAGTAGTTCGTAGAGTTTCTTGGTCCCGCATTTTCGAGTGGTTGACATGTTACGCAGCATGCATTCATTCCAAGTGTACTTCGGTATCGGCAATTTTAAAAGATATTTTAAGAAATACTCGATCGATTTTATTCACTTTTTATATATTAATCGACCAGATAATAATTGGAATAAATGTCACTTTCTCGTGTTTATTAAAAATACTTTTAACATCGATTCGATGGTGCTGCGGTCGATTAAAAACGAACGTGTAAACGTTGAAAATACATGTGAAGATTATATCGTTTGAATTGATAATTGATGAACAAAACTTTATTAGCTACATTGATTAGGATATTTCTCCTGCTGGCTATCCAAGATCGACTTAATTATTACGTTTATGTTTACAGGCCATTTATACGTTCGAAATTAGGCAAGCTACACGAGGCATTGTGCACGGTAAAAATTTTCATCTATTCTATAAATATTTCTTCATTTTCGAAAGAGTGAAAAAGAAAACAATTGTGTGTACATGCGTATGGGTCACGTGAAAAGTTATGACTGGAATAAATGTGGACAAACTCATATCAAGATGTTTAACAAAAATTCACAGTCGACGTGATTGCTTAAAGACGGTCATGTTAATGACGGAATTTTATAATTAAAACTCCGATGTTTCTAAAGATTTTTCACTCTAGTTATAATCAGAAAAATAAATTCTTTGAGGTTAGTATGTAAACAAAGAGAACATTCTTTTGTACAACACTGACGTGATTCTTCTTCGAGAAAAGATGATTGTATTTTTTTTATTATTGAAAACCAGACGAGTTGATGTTATAAAATGTACATTGACATTAACTATGTACTTAAATACTCGATTCAAGGACAGATCTGTCACATACAAATGCATGCAGAATATTATCTTGCTTCAAAAAATTCGTCTAGTATGAATGTTCATTTCTTATTACATTTCTGTGTGATGTACATACCACAAAAAGCGGCAAATCGCGAAAAAAAGATAGAGATAACAAGGATTTTTTGTGTGGCAAAGATTAACAGGTACAAATCTCCAAAACTCAGGTGAAAAAGCATTGCGCTACCGTCAAGTTTGTGTTCATTTTCGAAAACAATGTGTTCAAGCTTTTTGCACTCGTGAAATCTAGCAGCAAATTATCGAATACTGTTGAAACTAAAATAGTTGAACATTATTATAAATATTTGTTTCAAATATTAAAGATATTTTGAAGACTTTTTTTCAACAAAATTTGAAGAAATTAGTTTGATTATCAGAGAGTATAAGAACGATTTCATGTCGTGCAAAATTCCTTACCAACTGTGTCCCATCAACCCTTCGTTTCCCAATACCTACCCCACCTGCACTAACAAAGTAACCTCCTCTGCGCTGCCGCCTCCACGTGTCATCTGCAGTTCTGTCAACACGCGCCAGGCCATCATGTAAGTTCGCTAAGCTTGACGCCTGCCTGTTCCCGATGCTTGCAAATTTACTATTCAATGATTCCGATGAAACTCTTAGAAATAGTTAGTGATGGACTAGCAATTACTTCGAATCGCTTTAAGCTGCAATTACGGTGGATTGCTTTTTCTAATAGACTAACATTCTGACGTTTAGAACGATCAGATACATTAATTCGTATGCGAATGACTACATTGCATGCGTTTCTTTCTACTGAAGTTACACGAATTCATCGGAACACACTGATTATGCGAACAATAGATTGCGACGATTATAAAACTTTATTTCGTAGAAATAAATTTTAGGCGAATTCGTGAGAAATGTTTAACATATTTGACATTTTATTCCTTTAGTAATTAATGAAATCTCTGCTGAGACATTTTGGGAAATCAGTTGAATTATTGCTCGCCTTAAAGTGGACGATTTATCACTAGACTGCGGATTTTATGCATTTGTGGTAAGAATGAATAGTTGAAATAGAATATTGTAAAGATGTAGATAATATAATATATTAAGAATTAGATAATATCGTTACACTATTTTCAACTTATCAAAATTATTAAAAGAAACAATTTATTTTTGTTTAATTTATGTTTCTCGTATTCGTTGTAGGCAATTTTTATTTTGCATAAAGATCCGCAGTCTATCACATTTTATCCATTTCATATTGCGAAAACATTTAGTTTGTCAAAAAAACGCATTCGCTGTAACCTTAGCCTAATAGCTCTCGTTAAAAATTCTGAAAAATTGTCTTACAATTAAAGCGTCGAATTAGGTTGGTCCAATAGAATACATAAGTGAAAATTTCGTATAATTTTGAGTTTTATTCGATTTCTGAGTTTTGGAAATCTTGAAAATTAGTAACAGTACGAATTCACTACTCAAGATGATCCTAAAAATTTTATAAACGTCAAGAGACTTAAAAATCTTGAAGAACTAAATATGTCATTAAAAAATTTTAAAACATTTTTAAAACTTTAAATCGTTTGAAAAATGTTATTACATTTATTCACACCGTAGCTCCCTTAACTTTCAAGATTTTCCAGAATTAAAATTATCAAAGTACACAATTCAAAGCTTAAACACGATTGAATTGTTTGAAAACTTGAAAGAAAATCTATCGGACAGTCATCGCTAGAAATAGTACTACTTCCAGAAAATATTATTTATCAATGCTTTTCTGCATGTTACCATAAAATTAATAAAATACGAACAGCTGTCATGATGCTGAATCCTTATGTTACAGTAAAGAAGTAATGTTCCGTACCATAATATTTATATCTCGGTTAAATATACCAACGTTTTATTTAATTTTGAGATAATAACAGTATAGTATTCTGTACTTTTTGAGCACTGCAACATTAATAGAACCTCCTAGGCGTAGGCATGGTTTTAAATTGAAAAAGTAATAATGTTATGAATCGAACGAACAGTTTCGCATATCTTTTAGCACCGTTTGGTATGACAGTAATACTAGATCATCAGTATCACACACCTTTTATCATCGTTTTGGTATGTTCATTCTTTTAATACTATAGAAACATGAAAAATATATTTATATATTTAAATATAAAAATTTTATTTATCTATATATTTAAATATATATTTGTATATTTTTCAACATGTAAATACGTCGAGCAACAATTTCATCAATACACTTGTTTATGTCAATTTATCAAATCGTGTGATGCAGTAATATATATGACTATAGCTTTGCATTTTATTATTGTCTTTACTTGTTCCTTTCTCTCATTTCTTCACTATTTTACAAACTTCTTTTTGCTATATCTTATGGAATTATATACTAATTTATATACTAATTCTTTCAATTTCAATGCATACGTAGGAGACGAAGGAAGCTTGCACGGTGAGTATCCTAAATCATTTAATAAAATATTCGTCAGTTTTGTCGTTCTATAGGTACTTATTTAATATAAGGTACTTAAAGGTAACCACTGTCTTCAGTTCTGACGACGTGAACAATACATGTATTCTATGAAATTTCGATATGAAACAAATATACTGCAAAGGACATTGAAATTTTATAATTTAAACATAATTTAAACATTTAATTTAAAATAACCTTAACATGGAAGAAATTAATAAATCAACTGTGTCTATAATTTTTATTCAAATCGATTATTTTCCGAATTGATTCCTCTACAAATGAATTCTTATATTCGAACAACATATAACTTCTTATTCAAATGAATTTTTATTCTAACAAAATCTTCTGCTGAGAAATTGTTATCTAGATATATTTTTATTCGATCGCATAATTATTCGATGTCGAATAAAACTTTTGTTCATTAATCTTCATCCCTTATCAGTCATACGAATACAATTTTGCCCAACTCCGAATGAAGCATGTACAAATTTCAATGAATTGTCAAAAACTCGATAAGCAGATAACAATATTTATACTCTGGCACCAAATGGATCCAAGCATCACGCTAGAATCGTTGTCGCATTAGAAGTCAATTGATCAAATTAGTTCCCGCAGGATCCGAATATTTCAAACATCCTTTGATCTTATACTTGTAGTCTCTCGAGAAGGTGTTGGTTCAGAATCTCCGCAATGATCTGACACCTAGCTTGAACCGGATATTGGGCAACGTGCCACGGTGGCATTTGATCCAAGCCGCTCTTCCCTACGTTCTCCATGCCACGGCCAATCACCTGCACAATAGGTGGGTTTGCCTTTGTACCCTCTATCTATAAAATGTGTGTTTGTTTTCTCTGTCACGCGAAAATCGCTCCTATTTAATCCTTAAGGAAGGACTTTCAAACACTCGGTGCTATGGAAACGACGCTTCTTTACATTCTCCATTGGATACTCCTCGACGCTGCTGAAGAATGCGCGGAAACCGAGGCCGACTCCGGAAGTCCATTTTACTACTTGTTTTCTATACCCACCATGACCGTAAGTGTTTCTTCGTTTGTTCATTAAGACACCGTGCACTCGTTAACTGCTTGCAAGCTATTTTAATTCGAAATCTAAAACACGTTTTCTGAACCACAGAATTTCTTTGTCTATGATCTATTGCAACTTGTGCCTTTTGGCACCTGCTATACTTACACCTGTAACAGCTTTTTAATTATAAACTTTGGTACTGTCAAAATTATCTTGAAACATGCTATAGCAATCGTTTAGTGGTGTAGTCAATAATTATAAGCAAATAAAGATAAATAATATTGTGAATTTTAATTGTGAAAATATTACAGAATTGTCCCATTGTTCAAATTATTCATCGAATATGGATTCTAATGTAGTTATAATTGAAGATAAATGAAAATGATTCGATTTATAGGACACCAAATTCGTATATCTGATTCATTAATATGTACTGCCATACAATCACATCGAAGAACTTTTCCATAAACACAAAAGTCATTATAGTATATTAAAACTTTATTACATTACTTTTGCATTTTGGATGAATAGAATACTGAATCACTAATGCGTATTGTTAAATTTTCATCCCAGACAATGAAACTATATAAACAAAATAATATTGAGTTTTGATAGAACTTATCTATCTAACGTGTCCAACACACAAATACGTTTTTTTCTGTAAAACGATATTACCAACTCTGTCTTTTTCCCACAAATTTTCTATTTTCATAACATTTGTTAACAGTAATCTGTATACAAGTAACCATTCAACCATTTCAAAATTCAACTAATTTATGACGTTATAAGTAGACTGCGAATCATTATGCATTTATAGCTTGTGGAGATTCTTCAACTGCAAGAAGACGTATAAAAATTAAGAAGATTTAATAGCATTTCTATTCTGTTTTTGCAACGAGTAATTTTTTAATTCAAGAAGCAAATGACGTATGGCATAAGGGAAATTGCATAAGGATCCGCGATCTCGTTATAACTAGAATATATATTCCGTGCTTTAATTATTTGTTAAATCTTTATCAGATCTTTACTGGATCTTAATTTTCGACAGCTGTTCGTCTACCTCTTCGCTCCCTTGTGCAATCATCTAAAAGATATCGACTTCAAAACAAACTTGCGGTTAGAGAACGGCTTAAAAATATGGGCATCGTTGTGCGAATGTCGGCATCCAGATACACCTTGCTTTACCGCTCACTGTAGGATTAAGCCCCAAGCTTTATGGAATCGCTCTTTCAAGTCTTCTAAGCAACACCAGATATCCGACGATGTATTCGTCGGAGGGAGTGAGTTGTTTTTATTTCCTCTTTTTGTAGTTTGTACTTTCTATGTGTCTTAAATTCGAGTAACACGTATATGTACCTTTAAACGTTGGGTTAAACGATTATTTTAGATCTGGTTAGTCGAGATCAAGAATTTCGTACTTGTATAATTTTCAGACATCGAAAGCCCACCCAGCCAGTCAGTCAGTGCTTTTTCGGACCAAAGTATCGATAAACAATCGAAACAGCAAGACGATGATGTAAGTGAAGTAGAGAGTGTGATGTGGTGGGAGAGAAATGAGAAAATTATCTTCGATAAGAGGCTAATTAATAAAAATAAATTAGTAAAATCAGACGAGCCTGCGTCAGTTTTACTAAAAGTGTAATTTAGAAGTAATTCACAAATACGTTAGACATATTGCACAAAAACGAATTTCTATTTTTACACTTTTTGCGTGTAAGATACTGAAAAATAATGAGAAATAATGTTAAAATTACGATGAAGTTAAAAGCGATAGTAATATACAACTATGTAATCATAAAATTATACAATTGTATAATTGACTAACAACTAAGCTATACCAACACAGGACTCATGAATTGCACATAGTTTCATCATCGATGCAGATTTGTCGTTTGAATACTCATTTAACTATAATTAACAAATTAAGAATATTTTAGATAACTATACTGTGAATTTATATGCAAATTAAAAATGTGTATTAATTGGAAGCTACAGAAGCTACATAGATGATTCTGTCTTTCTTGAAAGATGTTATTGAGTTCAAAATAATAATGTAATAGTATTTTCAGATTTTTCAAATGTTTTTACTGTTTTACATATGGTTTCCTCATGGTTATTATAAGTGCATAAAATCCGCAGTCTATAGATAACCATAACACAATCCATTTCATTGTCAGAATACTTGGGTATCGTCACCAAAGGATACTATATTTCCTGAGACTATTCCCGAGGAAAGTTCTGGTGCAGAAGATGAGCACGTAGTGAGTATTCGGATCAAATGACTTCAAATTGATTCCACACGTTATGATCAATGAAATAATAGAATACCTTTACTAGGTTATCTTCAGATTACCATCACTCAGCGAATCAGAAAAAGCGCTCGATGGGGTAATGCATAATTATAATTATGTTATTTTAAACTTGATATTACCAGTTTCTAGTACGATTTTACTTTCTCGTGTGACAATTTCGATCCTTATTATTCTATCAGCTGTTCTGTTCCCATTATTGTCGTATAGATTTTTCTTTAAGTCAAGCAATTCGTCAATTACTTTAGGGCCAAGGCAGTATATTTCACGTAGCTGTGGGTCGAACGGACGATTTTTCCAAATCAACGTTGACGATTGAACAAGTCACAGCAATTTCGGGACTGGATAAACCATATCAGGATAAGACTTTGACTATTGGGTTTGTAATTTGCACTTGTCTTAAACTTGGTCAATGCGTTCGTTGCCGTCATTTCTTCTGTTCATAGCCCTTACGCATGTAGAATTTTTTTAATGATATTCGTATTGGAAGAAAAATCGTAGACTTATTATTACACTATATTATTAGGTCGTTTAGTATGAAATGTCAGATTATTCGAAGAGAAAAACTAATCGTTCCTTTTGTAATTAAATTAATATTTTATTAATCAAGAAATGCATCATTTGGATAAACACATTTTTGTACAATTTTGTAAAGAATACCTTGGAATTTGTAACTGATAAGAATTGAACCCGACATTTCAATAACCTAATATAATCTTAGGAGAGTATAGCAGTATTGAACAGCTGTAAACAATTTTAATACGATTTGACATACGTACTAATACTTTTTATAGTTAATCAATTATCGAACTCATGAATAGAATACGGATATTTGTGCAAAATAAAAATTTTCTAATTGAAATTAAAATTAAATAAAATTAAGAAATTAAATAAAAATGCATTTCTTGTTTTAATGATTTCAATAAATTGAACAGTAGCTAGCAATGTTCTTAAAATTTTCTAATGTTTTCACACTTTGATATTTTTTCGACAGTTCAGACAGTTGTGATGCAGATGGATCTTAAACGTATCCCTAATTACAATTCCATGATTACGTAGACATTTACTCAATATCTTTTTGAAAAGTTCACAAAAAATGAAGCCTTCGAAAACAATGAGAAATGTGGACTTTTTAAAACTTCAGTACTGCTGTATCCCATTAGCTACCATCAAATTACATTGAAGTTACTTTTCCTAAAATCCAAGATGAAGAGATACACTTTCATAAAATACAGAACATTATGACACTAGTAGCGAATGGGTTAATTAACCTTGACATAACGTGATTCAAAAATGGCAACTATTTGTTTAGTCGAGTAGCAGAGAAGGAAAGAGCAGACAAATACCATAAAATGGAGAAAGAATCGCAGGATACTTCGAAAACGAAAACGTCAGGGTCTCAAAAAGTTGGACCTAGCGAATCCAGCACCCCAGGACCCATAAACAGCATTGCCATTGACATGGATGTTCGTGCTGCTACTTTTCTTGACGTAGCTGTTCTTAGGTGCCTTTTCGTTCCCCAGTGGCAGGAGGAAGGAGTTCATTGGGCTCTACAATTTTTATATCATCGGTAATTGTTTCTTATGCAACTTGTTTTTGATCTCCCAATTGTTCTCGATATTTTAATTCACTAACTCTCATTTACCGTTCTGTTTCATTGGCAAACAATAACATTTTTAAAATATAGCACTAGAATAATAGTGCTTTTGATTGTTCAGCCGAGGTATTTAAAATCAAATACCCCGAAAAATTATACAGTATTTCTCAAATCGGTAAAAAGTTATTTGTAATACAAATTATCATCAGCAAATAATTATTCATCCTTATAACAGTGTATACTTTTTATAAATTAATACTAATAATAAATAACATCGAAAACATATACATGTAATGTATATGTTTGATGTAGATTCCCGTATTTGCTAAATAAAACAACTGGTTTAAAGCATTAATAAATAAATGAATAAAAGTTTTTTAAAAAAAGACATGAACGAAGTACGATTAAAAAACAGTAACCTGATGCAATTTCATTGTTTAAAATTGTTTAAAGAAAGATTGTAACTAGACTGTGGATTTTATGCGTAATTTAATTTATGTAATTTAAAACGGTAAAAATATTAGTATTACACGCATTGTATTGGAATTATTAAAGATGAAGCGAAGTTTCTGTCTGAATTCTACCTTTTACCATTGCTAGAGATAGTTTTGATTCAGCATTGAGATCTGCGGTCTAATTATAAGACTAAAAAGTGAATATTGACTTTTCGTGGTAATGTTAATAGCACTCGCGTTACCCGCTTTTCCATAAATTGTTGGCAGATTACGTATGATCAACGAAGAAACATCGGTGCAACAAATGCCACGTCGCCGCAGCAATTCCTTACCCATTCCAAAAATTGAGGTATCGATTTATCAAAGTCCAGAAAGTAAAAAGAAGGACGTAGCGAAGGAACTTATAGAAGTGCCGGAGGTTCGAGAGGTGACTTTATTAACTGGTGTGCAAAAGATTTAAAATTTTCCTTGGCGCATCGTACGAAGTCCTTCCAATTATTTTACAAAGTATTCTCGTAGGACACGATGGCGAGCCAAATCACACGAGACGAGGCAGTGAAAAGAAGAAGAGAATGAAAATGGCTGATCTAAAGGCGTTTGTCGAAACGAAATTGTTGTCGAAATCAGAAAAGGCACTTGAGAAAATTGGCCAGGAGGAACCGAAAATGCTGTTCGAACAGGTGATTATGCAGATATCATTATTTGAATGCTTTATGAGAGAGACATTTCGAAATGAGAAATATTCGATACACCACATTCTGTATTATAAAGTTTTCACTGAAGACATCGAAAAGTTGTACTCTACACATTTATGGTTTTTTTTTAAATTACTTCAATTTTTCAGTATGTATATACGCACATGATAGTATATTGACAAGTTCTTCAATTTATTACAATATTTGTATATTTTCATAAGTAACAATCCATTTGAAAAATGTTTTAGAAACTTTATACAGAAAGACTTTCGAAGACTTCGTTATTAATTTTCTTATATCTTTCAATATATTTTTCGTTACTGTAATAATTCAAAATGACAAGTTCTTCGTTTTTCAAGAATTTATAAAACTATATTATAACATTCATACGAAAAAATCAGTCTATTTAATAATTTTTTTTATTCTAATACTAAATACTGGAAGTCTTGCCATTAGAAGTTTTTGATGAAGTCTGTTAAAACTGATATATCAACAAAATGGAAATGTTTTTGCTCTCTACCAATGGACACCTACCATTTTTCGTGTAGATTGTATTGATTAGGTTGTACGATTATGCAATTGCCGATTTTTGGATTGAAATAAAAGCAATGTATTTTGAAAACACTAATCGTCATTTATGGAAAATATTCACCATGTGAATTAAAAATATAAATTACATTAAATTAAATTAAATTAAAAAAATAAATAAAATTAAAAATATTTTTTACAACTAATAAAGATTTCAAATTTTCGGTGAAACAGGTTCTGAATTTTTTCTCAACGTGTAAGATCAAATTGTTCCAATCCAATCCACAAAAATATCAATTTCATATGGTACAACTTCGAATATTCGGAAAGAAAGATTTCTACGACACAGCATTATGAAAAGTTATTTCAAATACATCCTCGCATGATCAACATACTGCGTAAATTCACACAAGAATGCTGAATCTTTTTTATCACCTTATCTATTGACGCATACCCACACACACACACATACGCACACACTACTTACCAGGGTAATAGCATTTTTATCGTTAGAAGTGTTCATTAGTGATAGATTTGCTAATGTTTTATTAATGAAAAGTATATTAATGTTTGATCCTAATTCGATTTTGAAGATTACACTAATGTATACATCGATTTCGATGTATTCGTTACTATCATCTATTCGCAAAACCCTACCACCTGTAGGAGATACCCTTCACGATTGACGTGGCAAGTTCTCGGAATCGATTCCTTAATGAGGTTAAATATTCCCACGATCGATCTATCATGAAGAAACTGGTGCTTTCCACCACGAGAAAAAGATATCGTCTTATCATAACACATAATAGCCTCTTCTCAATCACCGATCTGCATGACACTCGAAGAATTTCCCATGAATATTGAAAAAAATATATGTACATAGATTAATTAAATTTCAAAACAATAGTAATACCTTCCTAATACTAAAATTACTAAATTTGTTCAGCTGATTTACTTTTGTTGAAAAAGGTAAAAGTACTTTTATGGGAAATTATTAAGTAAATTCATTTCTCCATTCGCTGATAATAAAATTCGATCGAAATCTCAGTAAACGCACTCTTGCAATTTGTGTATACATATGTAGGAAAGTGAAATTCATAAACAACGTTCATAATAGATCCTCTCACATTTACTCCGACTCCAGTCTATCACCCCAAATCAATTCGAATAATCAATTTAGGTGGCTAATCACGACACAGTTTCATTGCTAAGCAATATAATATTTACGATTACGTTTGTATAAAAATATTCTTCACACGCATCTTCTTCGTACTGGTTTCCTTAGATTTTCTTTAAAATTAATTTCAAATAATGTTTTGGAATATTTATGAATCGTAGCAATTTATGCCTGAACATCGAGCACCACTTTTATGAAATGCACCTGTGAAATTCGTTTTACTATCAAATAATTCTTTAGCATCGATTATGCTCTAACAATAGTGAACAATACACTACTTAGCATAATATCAGCAAATAATATCCATTTATCCACACTTGCAAAACTGTAATTGTATGCAGAATATTCAATTAAAATGTGTTACATATTCTGACACTGTTCAAACAGAAACCTGACATTGCTTAATCAAATATTAATAATGAAAGACCTATGATCATGCAACAATATTTGTCTGCTTATTCATCTAACGGAAGGAACAGTGATGCGTATGACTTATTTGAAAACGAAAATAGAACATAATTGGTCAGCATTCTTAATGTACCTAATATAAATAACTTAACTTTTTAAGAACCACGTTTACAATTCTTCGAAAATTTAGTCGATCAACCACAATAACGGCAATTGTTGGGTCTACTATTTCTAAGATTAAAATAACTTATAGAATTCAGTAATAAATATTCGCAATACAGTATGACCTCCTTATAATCGCACTGCTCGGGGCTCATAACACAATTATAGAGGGCAGCGATATGATTATGCGATCGTTTCATTGGCTGACGGCTCGTTTCTGTTTAGTTGCTTCTTTACCCCCGTCTAGAAAGCTGAAAATGGGTATCATGAGGAAAATAACGACACGATCATAAGAGAATCCAGAAAGCAGGATTATAGGGAGACACGCTGTATTTTTCTCAATGTTCGAGCAAATGTAATTCAATGTATAATTTTCGTCTCAGGATACCCATAGAAGTCTTGATACAGGGGATGATCATTTAACGAGACCCACATCGACAGCTTCGAAAATCTTCGAAGCGAAGGATGTTGATCACATTAAACACCCTACGAATTTAATAAAAGGAAAGAGCATGCCAAGTTTAAGGTACGTATCTCAGTTTACGGATAGAGTACAATAAAACACGGAAATATTTGTCTTCATAGAACCTTCTTCTTCTTCGTTTCAGTTTATTCTTGCTCGGTCGTACCTACATACACGCGTGTTCTCGCATTGTTTTGTTTCTCATCCGCTATTCTTCGTCGAATACCTTGCCGGTTTATATCTTACTGCAACTTCATCTAATTAGGAGAGACTCGGGATCATGGTAGCCAGGTGATCAAGCCAGATTTCAAGTCGAAAGCGTGGAAGTAGGTCAGACGGCGCGGCGACCGAAACGGTTTATAGGAACGCTCTTTCGGCTTACAATCTGACTTAATCACCTGACTACCATGCTCGGGACTGTTCTGCAATGATTTCTGTGAAATTGTGCGAAATGGTGGTGCAGATATATATAATAACATTTTAATAGATCTAAGGGCGCTTACTATAATTGAAAAGGTGAGGTTCAAGGTATAGAGAAACGCTCAGATGTAAAATATTAATTGTATTTATTGTATTATTGCCGTATTTTGACGAGTCCGACTCGTTATGAAAATTTCTAGTAATAACTTATTGAGTACAGATGTTATTCTGACCATTAAAATTGGAATAAAATTCTAATCTCTTGTCATCAATATTTAAGCATTCAAGTAAATTTAGGCATACGATAAACATCAATTTTCTGTCCCTTCTAAGAAATTATTGCAATGGACAAATTTCTGATCGCAATGACTGCGAAGAAAATGATACATCAAGGGGTTAAATATAAAAAAAGTTTAGAGCTTTAGTTTTTAAATCCAGGAAGATTTCTGTAGCTTTTCATTATTTATAAATTATTTGGAAATTGTATTTTGCAATGATAGACAGTAAACTATAAAACTTGTAATTATGAATAGACTGCAATTTAGTGTAGAAGCAATGTGTTTATAGAATAAATTGGTTCGAAAAAATTAGTGTTTCGAAACATTAAATTTCCAAGTGATTAGTATGTGTACCTATCATTTCTGCCAATTTAACTGTAATCTGTGCAGAAAAACGTTCTCATCCTGATTTTCTGTTTACCTGCGGATATTATCACAAAGTTTCTAGATCAGAAATGTGCTGGGAATTCGTGTGTATGTACGTGCCCATGGATTTTTGGTAGAATCGTAAATGATTTAAATAATAAAATGGAAGTAATTTTTTCCTAAAAAATGATGTAGTATGCTTAAGCTGTATGCAATCAAGAATAAGCGTTTCAGTAGACCAATAATATGTCTTTTTAAGCGTAGAACATAATCAGTGTTGGGTAGCTGCAAAGTTGATAAAGGACAGGTATTTGTACACAAAAGTGGCATTTCTTCGTCTATTATTTCTAAGAATTTAATGATAATTATCATTTCAACTTAACATCTCTCTCAGCATAGTTATTGTTATCTATTCTAGATCTTCAAATTAATTAAACCTAATTATACTTTTAAATATTTTTAAATAATTAATAATAACACAATTGTTCATTACAGTGTGAATAAAAGTTGTTGTCCATAATAGAATTTGATAGCTATTTCAAAAAAGGTAATGAAATAATACAAATTTTGAAGTAACCTATGTAGTTCAAGAGGATAATTAAAAAATACACATTAATTTGAATTAATTTATTTATGACCTTACTATGTTTGTATTTACAATGTTATGTTACCAGTTCTCACAAAAATTTATATTTTACTAAGAAATGCCAGTTTTACTAAATACTATCTTTTATATAATTTATTTGTAGATAAAGGGATATAAGCTTATTTAAATTATTAATTACGAATAATATAAGCACGATTAAATAAATTATATAATGAAATGGTAATAAATTA